CATCCCATGTGGGCACCTGTTCAAGTCCCAGCTGCTCTACTTCCGGTCCAGCTCCCTGCTGATGCACCTGCGAGAGCAGCAGAAGGTGACTCAAGTGCTGGGGCCCCTGCACCCACATGGGAGACCTGGAAGAAGCTCCTGGCTTTGGCCTGGCACAGCCCCTGCCATTGCGGCCATTTGGGAAGTGAACCAGTGGATGGAAGAGCTCTTTCTTTTTTCTTTTTTTTTTTTTTTTTGACAGGCAGAGTGGACAGTGAGAGAGAGAGACAGAGAGAAAGGTCTTCCTTTGCCGTTGGTTCACCCTCCAATGGCCACCGCGGCCGGCGCGCTGTGGCCAGCACACCGTGGCCGGCACACCGCGCTGATCCGATGGCAGGAGACAGGAGCCAGGTGCTTTTCCTGGTCTCCCATGGGGTGCAGGGCCCAAGCACCTGGGCCATCCTCCACTGCACTCCCTGGCCACAGCAGAGGGCTGGCCTGGAAGAGGGGCAACCGGGACAGAATCCGGCGCCCCGACCGGGACTAGAACTCGGTGTGCCGGCGCCGCTAGGCAGAGTGTGGGGAGCAGCCCGGACTGGACTAAGTTACTGGAATTAAGACTTATTCTATGCATCTGCTCTCCTGTGGGGAGCAGCCCGGACTAGACTGAGTTACTGGAATTAAGACTTATTCTATGCATCTGCTCTCCCACAATGTGGCGTTGGGAGAGAAGTAAACAGCTTCCGCACAGCTGCCTCCAGTTCAACCAATTAACTGTAGGACTTGCTCCTGATTGGAGAGCAGCGTACTCGGCGTGTGGGCAGCCGAGTTGGGATTGGCGGAGGAGGACTATAAAGGAGGAGAGAGACGGCATGCACCAGGAACATCTATGGGGAACATCTAAGGGAACCCGTGCAGCCCCCGAGAAAGCCGGCCGGCGGTGTGCCGCTCCCCTGCGGAAGTGGGGAATGTGGCCAGGGGGAACTGCCCTTCCACGGAGGTGGAAGGGATAGTAGCCAACCCGGGAAGAACCAGCAGCAAACCCGGGGAGGGCCGAGCAGACGAAAGAACAGCGCAGGGTCCTGTGTTGCTCCTCCACGAAGAGGGGGAGCGACAGCAGAGGATTAGCCTAGTGAGCCGCGGCGCTGGCCAAGAGCTCTTTCTGTCTTCCTCTCTCTCCTCTCTCTGCATTTCTGCCTTTCAAATAAATTAAATAAATAAATCTATCTTTAAAAAAGAAAAGCATGCTAGCCATTTTGGAGAGGAAAGGACTGGGCTCCAGGCTTCCTCCTTATGCCTAAATTAACTCCAGGTATTAAAGGTTTAAGTGTTTTAAAAAATAATAGGGGAGGTGGGGGGGCCAGTGCCATAGCATAGTGGGTAAAGCTGCCGCCTGCAGTGCCGGCATCCCTCTGGGGCACTGATTTGAGTTTCAGCCGCTCCACTTCTAATCCAGCTCTCAGCTGTGGCCTGGGAAAGCAACGGAGGATGGCCCAAGTCCTTGGGCCCCTGCACCCATGTGGGAAACCTGGAAGAAGCTACAGATCAGCCCAGCGCTGGCCATTGTAGCCATTTGGGGAGTGAACCAGCAGATGGAAGCACTCCTTCTGCCTCTGCCTCTCCCTAACTCTGCCTTTCAAATAAATAAATACATCTTTAACACCCATAAAATGATACTAGGAAAAAACCCTAAATTATTATTTTATTGTTATTTTAAATAATTTTGCAGTTCGGGAATGCCTTTCTATATCTACCACAAAACCCTGGAGCCATAAAAGCAAAGAGTGGCTCTTTTCTGTGTTTCATTGTGGAAAGACATTCTATAAGTAGCTCCCTGAAAATTACAAGGTAAAGTTGACTTCCTGAATTTACAAAGGAAACTTACACATGAGTAAGATCACCAGTTTATTTAAGCAAAACGTATGACTGGTGGTTCATGGAAAAATACAAATGGTCAGTAAAAGTGCGTAGAGTATGGATCTGATTCCTAATAAGGCAATGCAGATCCAATAGCAGCGAGTCCTAGGTTACTCACTTGGGAGATCTGCAGACTTTGTTTTGTCTTGTTTAACAATGCCCGGTTGTGGTGAGGGCTTGGGGCAGTCACTGTCCTTTACTGTTGGTGAGGCCAGCTTTCAGGAAGGGGGTTGGTAATACTGATCAGAGTATCCGCTGCACAGCCCTTGGACCGGCAGTCTCACTGGTGGAAATCACCCTGTAGTGTTTCCAGAGCTGCGCCAAGATGGCTATGTGCAGAGACGCATTGTAGCATTGATGTAATTTCTAACACCCGGACTACTGAAATTCTGTCAGAAGATAACCACTGAAATTATGAGGCAGTCCTGTGCCAGGAAGCTATGTGGCCATTAAACAGAATGAGTTAGCTCTTTTGCACTATTGTGGGAAGACCTCCAAGACATATTAAGTGACAAAGCGAAGTGTGGAGTAAAAATGTAGGGAATGAACCTATTTGGGTAGGATTTTTAAAGTATATGATTTATTCTGATACATGTAAAGAGAAGTTCCTAGAAGTGCATAGTGTGTTAATGGTGTTTCCTTTGGGGGAGGCCAGGAATAAATGAAGTATTTAAAATATCTTTCTGTAATTTTTTTAGACTTGCCTGTATTATGTCTTCTCCCCTTTTCAGATAGTTAAAACCAAAATTTTACAGTGGGATGATCTAGCAGAGAATATGCTCACAGATGCAGTTTTCAAAATTTGTATACCACAGCTTTTCCTTGTGAAATTACAAATACCTAAATGTTTATTTCATAATCAATTTTTATTTTAAATAGTTATGAAGGGCCGGCGCCGCGGCTCACTAGGCTAATCCTCCGCCTAGCGGCGCCGGCACACCGGGTTCTAGTCCCGGTCGGGGCGCCGGATTCTGTCCCGGTTGCCCCTCTTCCAGGCCAGCCCTCTGCTGTGGCCAGGGAGTGCAGTGGAGGATGGCCCAGGTGCTTGGGCCCTGCACCCCATGGGAGACCAGGAAAAGCACCTGGCTCCTGGCTCCTGCCATCGGATCAGCGCGGTGCGCCGGCCGCAGCGCGCCGGCCGCGGCGGCCATTGGAGGGTGAACCAACGGCAAAGGAAGACCTTTCTCTCTGTCTCTCTCTCTCACTGTCCACTCTGCCTGTCAAAAAAAAAAAAAAATAGTTATGAAATGTTTTAAGATGTGTAAAAGTATAATACATAATTCTAAAAATGCTTTTAAAATTGATAGTAACTAATCTAGGATTTTAACATCTTTTTAGATGCAGAGTGATATAATAGGAAAAATAGCACAGGTTTTGGAGGCATAGATACGGACTCACATCTCAACTTACTGAAAAGTAACATTTTACTTTGGGAGAGTTACTTAAAATACCTTGGGGTGGGCAATGTGGTGCTGTGTACCAGTATCTCATATCATAGTGCCTGGTCTGAGTTCTGGTTACCCCATGCTTCTGATCCAGCTTCCTGTTCAATGTGCCTGGGAGGTAGCACATAATGGCCCACATTCTTGGGTCCCTACCACCCACTTGTGAGACCCAGATGGAGTTCTGGGCCCTGGCTGTTGGGGCATTTCAGTAGTGAACCAGAGGATGGAAGATACCTCTCTATCACACTGCCTTGGAGATCAATAAATTAAAAAAAAATAGCTGAGCTTAATAATATTGACTGACTTTTGCAGAGTAATTATAAAAACTAAGTTTAAAAAAAGGGAAAGTTTATAATCTGTCTCTCCTTACCCCTCGAAGATGATTTTCAGTCTTTGGGTTGTCTGATTCTTCTCTGCACTTAGCTTTTTGTCACATTTAGGGAGTTTGTTATTAAGCAGTGTTTGGTTATAGTAGTAGAACCAGGTGACTAATAAAGTTGATAAATCATTTACATAGTAAATGTTTGTTTTAGCTCTTTTGTTAGCTTTAAGTTGCTATAGGACTGTGGGCATGGGCAGGGTCTCTAATGGAGCTTTTCTTAAGTGCTGTTGTTCCCCACAGACGTGTTTGCAGTGACAACATGGGCAGTCCACTACTCTGTCATAGTTTCATTTTCTGATGGAGTCGCATGGACAATATTTACTGTCCTTTTTGGTTTATAACTCTAAGCAGTTTGGAGACCACCTAGTAGATAGAATCACTTGCCTTACTTTTTTTTTTCTTTTAAGATTATTTATTTATTTATTTGAAAGAGTTACAGAGAGAGAGAGAGAGACAGATCTTCCATCCACTGGTTTACTCCCCAAATGGCCTCAAGGGCTGGACTGGTCCAGGCTGAAGGCAGGAGCCTAGAACTCCATGGGGGTCTCCCACATGGGTGCAGGGGCCCAAGCACTTGGACCCTTTTCCACTGCTTTCCCAAGCGCACTAGCAGGGAGCTGGTTTGGAAGTAGAGCGACTGGCACTCGAAGCGGCGCTCCTATTGGATGCCAGGTGTTGCGGGCGCCTCAACCTGCTGGGCTGCACGCTGGCCCCACTTTATGGTTCTGTTTCATGTCGCCGGAGGCTCCTGAGGACTGATACACTGGCACTGTGCCCTTTGGTGCTAAACACCAAAGCCAGAGTCCTCCTGGCCCTGCCCCTCACTCCTCGCTGGGTGCTGGCCCGGCCGTCCATTCCTGCCCAGAGCCTTGCAGATGCTCCCTGCCTCCCACGGTTCTGCTCTCTCCTTCACCACAGCTCGGCAGGTGGTTGGATCTGAGGCCTGAAGACTCTCTGGTCTTGATAGGTATCATGTTGGTTTTGACTCGAATGTTTACTTTGTCTTACTTAGGGATAAAGTGATAGTTGTGGACTCTGTTCTCTCACCATAGTAACGGGCACAGTCCAGAGTGACAGCGTGAAGGGGCGTGGGTGACTCCCTCTTTGATGCTCACCCTTGGGAGCCTTCCTCTGGGATCGAGTCTGCCGCCCACGAGGGCCCAGAGGCGGGGGGACTTCATGGGACTTTGGAACTTAGTTGTCTTAGTGATGGAGAAGGGGATAGAATCATTTTCTCTTTGGGCTGGAATGAGTATTAATTTTTGTTTCTCTTTTAGCACCAGACAAGATTTGTGATGAAATGGAGCCTGGAACAAACTCTTTTCGAGTAGAATTTCCTGATTTTTCCAGCACCATTCTGCAAAAACTGAATCAGCAGCGCCAGCAGGGACAGCTATGTGACGTCTCCATTGTTGTGCAAGGCCACATTTTCCGAGCACACAAAGCCGTTCTTGCTGCCAGCTCCCCCTACTTTTGTGACCAGGTACTCCTGAAGAACAGCAGGAGGATTGTTCTACCTGATGTGATGAACCCAAGAGTGTTCGAGAACATTCTGCTGTCCAGTTACACAGGACGCCTGGTGATGCCTGCTCCGGAAATCGTTAGTTACTTGACAGCGGCCAGCTTCCTCCAGATGTGGCACGTGGTAGACAAGTGCACTGAGGTTTTAGAGGGAAACCCTACGGTCCTGTGCCAGAAACTAAACCATGGCAGCGACCACCAGTCGCCAAGCAGCAGCAGCTACAACGGCCTGGTAGAGAGCTTTGAGCTGGGCTCTGGAGCCCACCCTGACTTCCCCAAGGCCCAGGAACTGAGGGATGGTGAGAACGAAGAGGAGAGCACCAAAGACGAGCTGTCGTCCCAGCTCACCGAGCACGAGTACCTGCCCAGCAACTCCTCCACCGAGCACGACCGGCTGAGCACCGAAATGGCGAGCCAGGACGGGGAGGAGGGCGCCAGCGACAGCGCCGAGTTCCACTACACCCGACCCATGTACAGCAAGCCCAGCATCATGGCGCACAAACGCTGGATCCACGTGAAGCCCGAGCGCCTGGAGCAGGCGTGTGAGGGCATGGACGTGCACGCCGCCTACGATGAGCACCAGGTCACTGAGTCCATCAACACCATGCAGACCGAGCACTCGGTCCAGCCCTCGGGGGTGGAGGAGGACTTCCACATCGGGGAGAAGAAGGTGGAAGCCGAGTTTGACGAGCAGGCCGACGAGAGCAATTACGACGAGCAGGTGGATTTCTACGGCTCTTCCATGGAGGAGTTTTCTGGAGAGAGGTCAGATGGGAATCTGATCGCGCACAGACAGGAGGCTGCCCTCGCAGCAGGCTACAGTGAGAACATCGAAATGGTGGCAGGGATTAAAGAAGAAGCTTCCCATTTAGGGTTCTCGGCCACCGACAAGCTGTATCCTTGTCAGTGTGGGAAGAGTTTCACTCACAAGAGTCAGCGAGACCGGCACATGAGCATGCACCTCGGCCTGCGGCCTTACGGCTGCGGCGTCTGTGGGAAGAAGTTCAAGATGAAGCACCATCTCGTGGGCCACATGAAGATCCACACGGGCATCAAGCCCTACGAGTGCAACATCTGTGCCAAGAGGTTCATGTGGAGGGACAGCTTCCACAGGCATGTGACTTCTTGTACCAAGTCCTACGAAGCGGCAAAGGCTGAGCAGAATACGGCTGAGGCTAACTAAAAATAGGAGCTGGCCCTTGAGTGGCGTGCACAAAAATAAACTATGGTAATTAATGCAAATCTGGGCACAGATGATGCGTGCTACTTGCTATTATGAGAGACGCTTAAAAAAAAGAGGAAGATATTTCTGAAAGACCAGCTCTAAGTAGGCCAATTAAAAAATCTAATTCCTCAAATTTATCTTCTAGTCCTGGCCTGGATTGGGTGATGGGGGTGAGTTGACCCTCCGCCCAGGTGGCAGGGCCGCTGTGAGGGAGGCAGGTGGCTCGGTGATGGACACACCTGCCCTCGAACTGAGCCCGCCCGCCAGTTCCACTTCAGGGGGCAGCAGTTTTTGATCACTCATTATTACAAGGTCGAGTTGAAATTTTGTTTTGCTCTTACAATAGATACTTAGGTAATGTGGATTTGTTTTGGTAGCTGCTTCACTGAATGAAATGCTACTTACATAAAGCTGCCGACAATGTGATTCCTAGAGTGAGAAGTTAATTAACAGAGCTCTTATCTGGATTTACTCTTTGTAAAAGGATATTTAACTGAAACTCTGGAGATGTTACGAAGGTGACATTCTAAGTATGGAACGAGTGATTCATGGTACAAGCTTCAGTTTTGGTGTGATGCTACTGTCACAATGTTTTTTCAGACTCTTGATAAGGCAGAGTTTGGATTTGAGTCCTAACATTGAGTTTGAACTATTATACCCAACTAATTCTTCAGGGTGCCAGAGATAGGTTTTGCTAATTGGTTTGCTGTCCCAGATCCTGTCTGTTTCATTGTAGCATCCACGCAGTGGGATCTGCTCTGGCTAGACTGCTGGCCAGCTGCTGTGGCTCTGACCATGGTACCGCTGGCTGCTCCAGCCATTGCTCTGTCTTAGATTATGGTGCTTCCGGTGGGAGGGAGCCAGAAGTCGCAGACAAGTTACCTGTGAGCTGCAGGAGGTAACGGCGCGCCACGGTGACACCCCTTCAGAGAGAGTGGCAGAGTAGACTCTCCTGAGTGGGAGGTCGCACTTGAGGGGGGAATCTGCCCAAGAAGAGTCTTGAAAAATGCACTGGTGGGGGACCCTCTTTTTGAGGGTGCACTGAGCCCATGCTGCCAGCTCTGGGAGTGCTGGAATGTGTTTGAAAAGGGGGAAGAAGGAGTCCCGATTTAGCAGAGTCGTCTACAGATCCATGCTCCCAAATGACAGATAAAGCTGCATAAATTTACACGTCCACACAGCTATACCTACCCAGAACTCAAGAGGAGCAGCTATTCTGAGCTCGCTCTGGCGCTGGGTCCGATGTTTTAGGTTAAAAAGAAGGCGTACGTCCAGAGTGCTTAAAGCTGTGGCTCGTACCTGAAGTTGGTGCCAGCGTAGGACAGGTTGCTGCTGTGATGCCATCTTTCCCATACACTTTCTGGTCTCGTGTTTCTAAGTAGAAACTGCTTTTTCCTCAAAATAACTTTCCTTGGACTTGGGGTGAAAATTTTGTTTTAGAAGTTTGGCCTTGCTCTAATAGATAATGCTGGCAATGGCCTTTGACCTTCAAGCTCCTAACTGGATGGGGAAAGAAAAAATACTTATTTACCAGTTAATTCTTGTAATCAAGACTACAAAACAGGGATTTATTCACTAACACTGTATCATTCTCGATATATAAAAGCACTTTGTATTTAAAACTTTATTATAAATATATATATATATTGTTTTTTTAACATAGAAACTAGATATTACCTCTTGGTTGTTTGCCACATTAAAATCATCTTCTCTTAGTGTTGAGACCTCACCAGTCAACAGTCCTTTCTCCGTGTAGCTGACAGGTGTGTAGAGGTGACTGTCCCATCAGGCCGTGGGTACAGGTGTGAGGAGAACGTCCCGTGTTAACTCCCACCCATTTCAGTACGAAGGTCGGAAAGCCATTTTGTTCTGCCAGGAGCTCACGCCCTCTCCGCGGGTGTTAGCGAAGCCGTCTGTCTGTCTGAAGGTTTGGGGTGCTGTTCCCCACTGAGTGTGGCATGCAGATGAGCAGGGGGATGTTTTGGGAGAAGAGTCTGAGAGGTCAAGTGAATCCCTGGAAAGTCAGAGTCCCGCGGCTGTGCCGACTCACCGTGGCACCTGCTCTGAGTTGGGATGGAGGCGTTTTTGTTCTGCCAGGCGCAGTGACCCGCCCTTGGTGGCAGTTGGGGGAGCAGGCAGTTGTGCTGGGCTTATTTACTGTGTTGTGAAGGGAGGAGCATCTTTGAGATCCTGTGTATACATCAGCTGCTAAACAGAGTGTAATGTAAGTGAGCTCCTCCCGTCTGCTGGCTTGGGTTTGCTGCGATAGCTGGGGCTGGCAGGGTTGGCAGCTGTGCCCTGTGGAGAAGGTTGGTATCTGAAACGCTGGCCGTGTTCAGAGAAGCCAGAGGAAGGGTTCCCTTAGTGTGGGCATGAAGAGAGAATTTCTACAGTCCCTGCTACTTGGAGGTCATAGTGCATTGCTACCTTGTGAGTCTGTGCCCCGGCCTCGGCACGGCACAGCCGTAGGAACTCACTCCCAGTGAGCAGTGGTCTGGGGCACGGTTCCCGTCTTTCAGGGGTCCTCTCTGGCCTCCAGCCCCAGCGGGCAAGGGCTTCATGATACCACCAGTGGCTTTTACTATCTGTCCTTCATTTTAAATCCTCGTGTCACTGTCATGCACCTGATACTAGGCTCACCCGCTAACCACGGCAGGGCTGTGTTAACTAAGAGTCTTCGAGAAGGTCTCCACCGTTCCAGTGAGTGTTCGCTGAGCTGAACCCACCCCAGGTGGGCTTCTGGCTTTTTGGGAAAGCTGCTTCCCTCAGTGGCTCCGTACACTGGAGCAGGAGCGGCAAAGCCAGGCCTTCCCAGAGTCAGGAGCCCGGGGTGGGGGTGGAGAGGTGTCCCGGGGCAGGGCTCTGGTGGGGCAGGGATGCCTGCAGACAAGCAGCAGCCTCCTCCTGCCTCCCCTGCGCTCCAGTGCAGTGACTTTCATGGGTCACTAACTTTGTTCAGTGAAACCAGGGTTGGTTTGGTTTTTTTCTTTGCTATTTACATATTTAAAGGTACAGGTTTCTTATTTCAAATCTCTACTGATAGTGCCCTATGGGAAGATGCTGGAACACATTTTGCAAATGTGACCTTTTTTGTTTGTTTTTAATTTTGCTTGAAGCCTGTGTCATGTCAGTTGCTGCTGCTGCCTTTCCTTTTTTGAGGTTCCCAATGTTTCTCCCAGAAAATTTATTTATGTAAGTCAGGTGACTCTTAGGCCACAAAACCATTTGATGATAAACAGATTGTCCTTAGGTGCATATCTCATTGATACTTCGTGAACTGTTATGCCTGTGTTACAAAAGTTGAATAGTTCTGTCTTTCTATATTGCTGTCTTCAGTGTACAGCATGGTTTTACTTAATTGAGTGTTACTGTTTAATATTTTCTTCTTATAGAAGAGACCATGCCCTTTTGTATGACATGTTTTAATAAATGTTACCTGTCAATTTTGCAAACGTTGTGTTTTTCACTGAGTAGATGACCACATGTCTTGTTTTCATAACTTTCGCCACCCTAGAAGAAAGTTGTATTGTGGCCTTTGGATAAGTCAGTGCCAAGTAGTCTGATCACACGGGCAATGAGTGATCATTAGCTGTGCCAGGAATTCATGATTGTTATCTCACTTTAAACACACACACACACACACACACACACACGCCTCGGCAAGACGGTGTCCAGGTGTGCTGGGAATTCTCCGGGCTGCTCCCAGGCCCCTCCTCGCCCTGCGCTCTCCCCTCCCCTCTCCCCGTGCCCCCTTGCTGGTCAGGTGCCACCAGGGACACTGGGAGGAGCTTACCTGGTGAGAGAATTTGGGGAATTCACCGCCCTGGCCCCTCCTGCTGGGTGGGGGTTGGCTGTGCTCCTTTCCGGCCACTTCTGGGGTTTGGTAACCACAGGTGCCCTGTGTCCCTTCGAGCGAGGGTTGGTTCTGACGCCCTGCTTTTGTTGTCCACGTGTGTGTTTCCTGCCGGGAGACCCTGGCTGGTCTAAAGCGTCCTCACTTCCCAGATGAGCTGCTGTGATTCTGAGAAGGTGGGTGTGTGAGCACAGGTGCGGGACTGCAGGCCGGAGCCAGGCCTCAGGCTCGGGACCCTGGCAGCCACGCACTGAGGCCTTTTCCCTGCTCAGGTGGCGCCGCCCTCTGCAGGTGGGGCTCTGGTTGGCCTCACACTGCCCTCCCCGGAACCCCAACCCTGCAGGAGCCACTGCCGTGGGCACCGAGGGCCCTGCAGATTTCCTAACAGCTCATTACCAGAGACGCTGCTTGTTTTAGAGCGCACCAAGCCGTCTTCCCACGCAAACCTTCTGTTCCCACTGTTTGTTGTGAGGTTTTGCCGGTCCCCGTTGCTGGTTTCGAGGCCAACTCTAGACTGCCTCTGCCAGCTTCGCCGTTCTCTGAGTGGGGAAGAAGGCACCCAGACGAACCCTTTCTCCATGTACTGTGTCCATCTTGTCCAAGGGCAAGCTGCCCAGCCCCTGTGCCGCGGTGACCCCCGTGGCCTCCCACCCTCACCCCTCCTGGGGACCCCGGCAAGGCCCGGGACGCCAGCAGTGGCCTCCTGGAATCCGGTGTCCCATAGCACCCGTGTCTCCCGGGGCGGGAACCAGTGAGGACAGGGTGAAGGCTGCGTCCTGTTCGGGTCAGAGCAGGGTGGGCTGCAAGGATCGCCTGCCCCTGCCGAGGAGCCACGAGCTCCTGTGCCTTTACCGCGGTTGCCTCCTGGTGGGTTCGGGATCCAGGCTCCCAACCACGCCTCCTCATCCCTCAGGGTCTGCTGGGCGCCGGGAGGAGCCGGGATCCGCCCACAGTCGGAGGAGCGGTCAGCCTGAACTTAACCTGCAGTTAGGATTCAGATCCTGGGTTCCTTCTCAATGTGGGTCAAGTGAGGGGCAGGGCTCGGGGTCCTTGCGCTCTGTAAGAAAGCGCCCTGCATTTCAAGTTCAGCGAAGGAACGGGACACAAGGGGCCTTTCTCCCTGGCCTGAGAAGCCAGTCCCCTGACGTCTTCTGAACTGGTTTGACTAGTCTGAAACGAAACCAATTTGATTTTTAAATCTTTGTGCGACTTTTCCCTTCTTCCACACAGATAAGGAGTGGAGCTTGGCACGCGGCCTGGTGCACCAGGAGCAGAGGCCAGCTGTCACGGGGGCAGTGTGTTGGCCTGGGAAGTAGGCTCTTAGGCGGTGCTGTAGGTAAAGACCGGTTATGGAGAGCGGTGGCTTCTCAGCCGCACTCGAGTGATTATGAGTTCTGGTGTTTTCCTTCCTCTGATTCCAAACTAAGAAACCGGTACTAAAGCAATTAAATGTATTTATAACTTAATAAGATACCAGTCACTCCCCTGAGTGTGCTAACCCACGTAACGTAGCAGCTAACCTTTATAAATGGAAGCCCAGGGCTGCCTCTGGAGCTGCGCCTGTCGTAATTTGGGGTCAGCAATGCTGTGATAAAATCTCAGTTATTGGGGTTTTCTGAAAAGGGTCCCATCGCTCATGATGGGCAGCTGCTGGGTCTGGCCTGCGGGATCTGGCTTAGCTAGAAACTGTCGGCTTTAAACCGACACCCCTCGGGGGACACACATCCCTTCCAGAGCCTGGGTTCAAGTCCAGCTCCGCTTCTGATGCAGCTCCCTGGGAGGCAGCAGCACGCGGCTCAGGTGCTTGGGTCCCTGCCAAAGACATGGGAGACCTCGACTGAGGTCCTGGTCCTGGTTTCTGCGGGCATTTGAAGAGTAAACAGATGCAAATCTGTCTCTCTGTGTTTAAATACAAAGAAGAGGATGAATAGGAATTAAGTTTTATTTTTAAAATTACAGCAAAATAACCTTGAAATGCATGTAGAAAGGGGTAAGCGTTTGCTCCCCCATACAGAATGCCACGAAGTAAAACATCTTTTCTCTCCGCACTAGGAAGACGTCGGTCCCACGTCTTTCTCTCGGCGCTGCCTCCTGCAGCAGGGACATCGGTGTCCTGGGGAGATTTGCATCCTTGGCCTCTGCACCTGCAGGCTGCCGAGCCCAGCTTCTGACATGGGGGAGCAGACCTGGGCTGGATGTGAGGGGGATGCCCTGGGTGTCCCTTGAGTCGCTGAACTTGGTTCTTGTCTGCCAGGAAGTGCCTTTCCTTCTTTTTAAAATATTTCTTATTTAAAAAGCTGTGAGAGAGAGAGAGAGAGAGAGAGAGAGGGGAAGAGAGAGAGGAAGGAAGATCTTCCATCTGCTGGTTCACTAAGCCAGGAGCCGGGAACTCCATTCTGGTCTCCTCCATCCGTGGCAGGGACTCAAGGACTTGAGCCACCGTAGGCTGCTTCCCCAGGCACATTAGCCGGGAGCTGGATTGAAAGCGGAGCAGCTGGGACTTGAACCAGCACTCGGATATGAGATGCTGGTGTTGCAGGCAGCAGCCGAACCTGCTGTGCCACAACGCCAGCCCCTGGAAAGTTCCTTTCCGGTCATTCAGGCTCTGCAAAAGTGGTGTCCGGGACCCCTCCCCCAGCGATTCCGGGTTTACTCACACCGTTCTTAGGGATCCCATTTCATCTTGAACTTAGCTCTGCTGTGGCACTTGCCCTGTGTTGGTTTTGGCTCTGCCACCTTTTGTTCACCTCCCACATGGCGCACGTGCACACACACACACACCCCTGTGCCCCCGCCCGCCAGCAGGCTCCTAAGGAACAGGCCATGGCTCAGTTGTGTCTGAGTGGCACAATCACAGCCACACACAGATTGTGTGTGTCCCAGCACAATCCTGACCCCTAGCCAACGAAATGCTGCTGAATTTTTTTTAAAAAGAATTACTTATTTATTTGAAAGAGTTACACAGAGGAGAGGCAGGCAGAGCCAGAGGTTTTCCAACTGCTGGTTCACTCCCCAGATGGCCGCAACTGCTGGAGCTGCGCCGACCCGAAGCCAGGAGCTTCCTCCAGGTCTCCCACGCAGGTGCAGGGGCCCAGGGACTTGGGCCATCTTCTGCTGCTTTCCCAGGCCACAGCAGAGAGCTGGATTGGAAGTGGAGCAGCCGGGACTCTTAACTGGCGCCCACGTAGGATGCTGGCACTGCAGGCAGTGACCTCACCTGCTATGCCACAGCTCAGGCCCTTAAATCTTTTTTTTTTTAAATGCAGATTGACTGCTGAGTCTTTATTCCCCAGTTATGTCCGTGAACTTTCTGCTTCAAAGCTCCTTCTTGGGAAGCAGGGGCAGAGTGACCCAGTGCTCTCCCACTGAGTGTCACCTGAGCGTCACTGCAATGGCCTGTGAGCTGAGAATTCTGAGATCACTATGGGTCCCCTCTCCTAACCCACGTGGAGGTATCTGGGCAGGGTCTCAGCTGTGCCGCCTGTTTATTGTGGTTGGGCAGAAGAGGGTGACGGGAGTTATCTTAAGAAAAGGCTTCTGGTGTATCAGCAGAGCTACAGAGCCGGCAGGCCCGCAGCCTTCGTGGTTAAGATGCCCACACCCACACCGGAGAACCTGGGTTTGATTCCTGGCCCAGGCTCCTGACTCCAGCTTCCTGCCCGCGCAGACCCTGGGAGGCAGCAGGTGATGGCTCAATACGTGAGTCCCTGCCACCCCTGTGGGAGACCCGGATGCAGCTCTGGACTCCTGGCTTCAGCCTGGCGCTGCGCTGGTCATTGCCGGCATTTGTGGGTGGATGGGACCTCTGTTTATCTCTTTCTTCCTGCTGCTGAAAGAAAACACTTGAACTCAGAGTGTGAAGGGAGGCGTGGACCGTGGGTGAGGGTGGGCAGCTGCTCCTGGGGCAGGGGGACAGGTGACAGGCTCTGCTGAGCCTTTGCCTCCCTCCGGCTCTGCGCTGCTTTGGGGCATCCAATCAGATCCTCAGCTTTCAACCCCACTAGAAAGTTTAGGGGGAAACTGAGGCACAGAGCAGTTAACCCCAGGGGGCTGCCCAAGGTCATGAGAGACCACAAACCCCAGGCTACCTGATGACAGGACTCAGGATGTGGGTCTGTGCTACGTTCCCTGTGTGGCCCGAGTGTCTCATAGTCAGCTTGCTGGGTGTGGGACAGATGCCTGGAGGGGGGTGCTGCCCAGGTAGGTCAGGTTGAAAGTCAATGATGACAGGGGGACAAGGGGGACTCCTCACCGCCCGCCCACCGAGGGCTGCTGTTCACCGAGGCAGAGCCGTCTCAGAGTAAGAATCACGGATCCCAGAGGCTCCTTCTGGGGTTTTTGCCTCTGGCACTGTCACACACCCTCCAGTTCCTGCCTGCCAAACCCCATTAGCAATTCCTTTAATAGAATTCAAAATCAGGAACAGCACCGCCACCCTCTTCTCTCCAGGAAGGTAAGTGGGGTGGGGGGAGGGTGGGTAGGCGGGAGTGTGAGAATCCCATCCAGGGTCAGCGCCCTGGTGCTGCAGGTTAAACTGCCACTTGCTACAGGGCATCCAGTACGGAATCAGAGTCCCTGCTGCAGCGCCTGGGAAGGCAG